AGGAATCCAGATTGCTGCAGGAGACTTATATTAAAATATTGTAATTAATTTTCCCCCAATTGCTACGTCACCATTCTGGCAAGATTACAGATCTCCGTAACGATAATATTTCTATATTAGAGCATGAGAAAGTTTTGTTACAGAAAAATAAATAAATAAAAAAATAAAAAGCCATCATTGCCAAGATATAACGAAACCAAACAGTTTTAGCATTGTGTTGTTAAGGATCAGAAAATAGTTTGGTAACAGCACAGTTCAGAGTAACACACACAACTCACTGCTTCCTATAAGGGATTTAGAACTTCCCCATAAGATATATCATGTTCTAAAAATCAGTCCTATACAATCTTCCAACTGATACGTAAGCAATAAACAGAAAATCTAATTATTCCAAATCTTGAAAAGTCATTGTAGTTCTACTTGGTGCAGGAGTTGTGCAACTGAGGGACTGTCCATCGCCCAGAGCAGTGAAAAATTTAACACTAAATTTAAGAATGGGCACAGATCCTTCCCTGATAAAACTTTGTTCTGTTGAGGTACTTTACAAGTCCCTGCTGGGTTTGACCCTTTTTCACAGCTTGAAGCAGTGTGGTTCACTCACCCCGGGTTGCCAGGGTGCTGGTCAGGAAGAAGAATCTTCCTTGAACTGAATGAAACAGATATAAACAGATCACTACCGTCAGGTCTGACAGAAACACAGATGACTCCAGCAAGAAGACCAAAGAGGCCACCGTGTATCTTCAGCTGTATGTCCCTCGGGAGGGGAAAAACACCTGCGAAAATCAACCTGATCCACTCCCTGTGTATTTAACAAACACTATGAATAGCACTTGCTCTATCTGAAATAAGCGTTAAAATACAATCCACCAGTTTTTGGTACCTGCTGAAAAAAAAACCAAATGTGCAATTTTTACACTGCCCGAAGAAGATACTTCTGTATCTTTCTTTATAACCAGGCAAAAAACCAGGTAAGATACTTCCTGGCATTCAAGAAAGGAAGATGATAAATGTAATATAACCAGTTTTAATCAAGATCAAAGCTGTAGGAGAATGCAGACAGTCTAGACTGCTTTACTTCTGAAAGCCTAAGTATATAAAGCAACATCTGCAAAGAACATAAATCACATTTAGCCTACAATCTTATCACCTCCTAAGCAAGCAGAAACAACTTTTACTTAAAAATCATATGCTTCTATACAAGTATTTCTAGTTATCTTTCAGCCAGATATTTATCACTGATTACAAAGTTGTGATACCGACTTTGAAATAGGCTAAGGTAATCTTAAATAAATACACTTGTACAGGTCCCAGGAAAATGGATTTGAGGGTGCACAGCACAGAAGAAAGTGCTGGTAAGGAAACCTACTGAAGAGAGACAAAATCATTTTTGCATTACTGGTATAAAACAGAAATTCTTTAAAAACAGGACCATCCAGTTGGAGGAGATGATCACTGTAACTCTCTTCCAATTGAAAAAATCTA